GTTGAGTGTTATCCACCGAGGCAAAAAAAAAAGTTACGACAGAGAGGGTAGAAATGATTAGTTGTAAAATAGTCTCAGCAGTGAGAACAATTTTGGACCCTCCAAAATTCCTGCATCCACTCTCATCATACTTCCCTCACCAAACGCCAAACAGGTTTTCACCATTATAATATTTTAAGGTGGCTCGATGGGGTTTTTCAGGGACAATTCCTCCCAAGTTTGAACATTAACTACGTCTCCATTAACAAAGATTTGGAAAAATGACCGCCACAGCTGTATTATTAAGATAAAGATGACATTTTTTATGATCAGTGTTACAATGACATCGGAGTCGTCGAGCAACGAAATGAGCGTCATTACCAATTCTTCTTCCAGCCGTTTTCTTTTTCAAAATCGGTCACGGGAGCTTTTTCGTCCAATACTGCCTCGATGTTCTTGACGTTTGAGCGGAATCCGAGTCGTTATTGAGATATTTTAGGATGAAGTTTTTACGGTTCAGCAAAAAAACTCGGGTAATCTTGACGTTCGTTTCGTATGTAATTTTATCTCAAAGAAGTTTCATTCTCTTAAAAAGCGCGTTTGAAAGGATCACGGAGATATCCTAAAGCCTTTTTCAAACGTCGCGCTACTACCGTGCTAAGCTGGCTCGACTAGCTGTAGCTCAACTACAGCACGACACTAGCACGACTTAGTTTCAGACGTTGAATAGAATGGCTGTTACCAAAAACAAAACGCAAAAATAAAGAAACTGTTTAGCAAACTTTTAAAAGTATTCTTATGTATTTATAATTCATGAACTGTGTTCGGCACGGCACAGTAGCGCGACGTTTGAAAGCAAGTCGAGCTACTGCTGTGTAGCACGGCAAAGCTTGCCGTGCTACACGGTCTACACGGCAGTAGCACGACTTGCTTTCAAACGTCGCGCTATACGGCCGTGCTATAGTCGAATTTAATTCGATTAATTTAGTTCGGCACGGCAGTAGCACGACGTTTGAAACGGGAAAGAGGGATTTGATTTATAGCATGCAGTGAGGTTAAGTGCTCTTGATGGCGTTTTTTGCAAATAAGCGATAATTTGGAAACCGCGCGCTCGTTTGTAAAAAACTTTGCGATTCTTGAGATGATTCTACATTAGTTTTTCAAACTTTTAAGTATTACGCTTTGGTTACCGTAACCTGTGATCAGGCTTTCTCATGAGAAGAAAAGAAAGGACATAGTGATCATGATAGATCTTTAGAGAGTAGTAGCCATTTTTTGATAAATAAATAAATAAATTTTTACTCCCTCAGTAACGACGTTACTGAGAGGAGGAAACGACTCGAAGCAATCGGGTGAAATTCAGGCTAGAAGATTCTAACATTTTGTTCTTTTTTTGTGTCTTCATGTACGTAAAATATTTTGTTGCAAATTTTCAAATGTTTTTTTTCATAGTTTTGATTACCTGGAACTGTCGACAAGTAGGTGCATATTCCAAAGTAGGTCATAAAAGAGCTGTTTCCCCGCCAGAGAAAAATCTTCACAAGGCTTCGAAATTTACACGTCGCTTGTTAAGCATTATTTTTTTAATTCTTACATCCGTTTCCGTCTTTCATGTTTCTTTAACTCTAACAAAAAAGTCATGATAGCAATATTCGATAGACTGGGGATTTCAAAGGAAGGCAAGTTGGATAACGAAAGTTGCAAAGTAAACACAATAATTCAGACTTCCTCTACAGAATACCAAGCAATAATTTAAGCTCACTCATTTTGCTTTAGAAAACCATGCAGCTAAAATTTACCGTTTACAGTGATACAGAGTACAACAATCGTAGTAGGGAAATTTCCCTGCATGGAAAATCAATATCCGGTCTTGGGTAGCAGAAAGGTCGCAAAATCTATTTTTGCTCACTTACATCATCAGTAAGATCCAATGAGAGCGCTCAGAAATTTGACGGGGAAGTACCTTGTTTATGGGGGAATGGACGCCATAAAATGCGAACTAACTTTCATTTTCTTCAGAGTGAATGTTAAACATATAGTGTACGAGGAAAGAGAGGAATAACAGTTTTCAAGTGATAATTTAGTTGCAAATCTTCGAAGGTAGGCGGATTATTTTAATGGTGTCGATTGGACGGCGCATCGTGAAAGCATTCGCTTTGGTACGATGGGCTCAGCCATCGGCAATGTGTTGGTGTTCAAGCGAGCTAAAACTCGTTTTGTTTTACAACGAGTGAATGTGACAAAATGAAAGATCTGCGAAGGATAGTGAGGATTGTGAGGATTGAGTTATACCACTCTGAGTTAAAGGGGAAACGAATTTTCGCTGTTGAATACCGACACATATTAGTTTCTTAAACTGACGTGCATCAGACGTGAAGCTCTTCTGATGTACACAGCCCTGACTTCTGTGCCATGAAAAATAAGCTTACATTTTTTATTGACTCGTATCTGATGAGGATAAGGCTCATAAGTCTTCTTTTTTTTTAAGCATTCCTGGCACCTTTTGTGGAACACTGAATAAGCTATAAGAGAAGCAATTATATTAAATGTTGTGAGGAGAATTGAAGTGAAGTTAATTCACTTCGCTAATCATCACATCATTTGATTAAACTTCCTAAGGTTTTGGGTCACCGCGAACTTATTTTCAGGCTTTTTTACTCTGAAAACTGGATGAAAATGATATTTCCAATTCCTTTGCCAATTTTTAAGTTTTTTGAACAAGATCTGAAAAAAAGAAATATAGAAGTTCGACTTGGTAAGCTACTGTAGCAATTTTATCACTGATTTCGAATATTTAACAGAATCCTAGTCTTCGCCAGCAAACTGACAATGGAGATCGCTTGACATGGTGGACATGTGGTCACAAGAGACAAAAACTTCATGATCTTTTTGTTAAAACTATAAACAGCTAATGGGTAGTGAGTTGGAATGCAAGGCAAAAGTTCTTTTTGCTAATGTTTCCTTCATTTTCACCCGGGGGGGGGCACTTGGGTATTTTTCGGGTGGGTATGTGCCGCCCGGGACTCCAAATTGGCACCCCGTTCTAAAAAAAATTTCTCCTGAAATTGATACCCCGTTCTAGAAATGGGCCAATTTTTTATACCCCGTTTTAGAATTCGCTTTAAAACTGATACCCCATTCTAGAAATGGGCCAATTTTTTATACTCCGTTCCAGGGTGCAACAAGAGTATAACAGTTTGCTTGTTAACGCATTGAACCGTATTTTTAAAAGCAATCTGTCCTTGAATAATTTCAAATGGCTGCTTACAAAAGTGGAGCTTTCGTGCGTTCGAATTATTATACCCCTTTCTAGAAATCGCCTCTGAAATGGATACCCCGTTCTAAACCAGGAGCTTCAAAATCACGACCCCGTTGGGCGGCACATACCCGTATAGGTAATGTATGGGAGTGCCCCCCCCCCCGGGCATTTTCATGTCTTCAGTGCTTTAACTTACTCTACTTGGGGATTCAAATATGATTAGTGACCGACGGATAGTGCCCTGGGGGGAGGGGTACTCCCATAAATTTTGGATCAATATTGCTGCCCAGGGTGAGACAAGAGAATTTTATGCAGTTGTGAAAACCTGAAAAAATTCAGGTTTGCTGGGATTCCATCCCTGACCTGGGCGGCACATACCTATCTACCCCATATAGTCTGTAGCCCTGCCCTGGGAAAATGGCAGTGCTGGGGCTAAAAGCCATTCTCAGGTTCTACCAGAATTTCCTGTTAGGGCTAGGAAACAAAGGAAATCCTGAATCAATCTAGTTTGAGTACTGGTTTAATCTAAATATGGATTTTACCTACAACAACAATACTGTTTCTGTAAAACATTTACCAAATTACAGTACATCGTAAGTAGTGCTGCAGGCAATGTTTTTAGGACAGTCAGTCCCTATTTTGGAGATACGAAATGCGCAATAAAGGGTCATGTGGCCAACATTATTCATGTTTATGTAGGCTAATAATTTGGTCATCGGTAAATCATGGATACCAAAAAGTTCTGGTTTTATGCTCTGGGCTACTAAAACTTACGATTAGCTATAACAGTGATAATGAATACCCAGCACCGAGAAAAAACGTTGGTGTGGAGGTATTAATATCTGGAGTATAGTAAGGGAGGATTATAACCCAGCTAGGATGAAATAGCATATTTGAGTGTAGATAGGCCTGTAAGTGGGTGAGCTTGTAGCTTGTTTGGCTAAGCTTATAACCAGAATTCTTTGTTAACTGAACAACCAAAATGAACAGTCTACTCTTATCAATAATTTAACCAACTGCCTCGCTTAAGTGGAAGGTGGGTGCCTGGGATACCCAGGGGCTTCCACTGTGGCCAGCCAGCCCCTAGATAGAAAAACTGCCCCCATGGCTGGCAAATCCCCGCAACCCAGCCATGAGCCCCCATTCCAGGCACCCGTCACACTGATCAAACAGTGGAAGGAAGAAAAATAGGGATGGGAGGGGGGGGAAGACGCTAAATGAACCGCTCCACAGACCACTGCACAAACGCTCGATGAACAACTCGCAGATCCTAGCCATGTACAAAGCTACCACACACCATGTGAGCCTGCACTTATGGGATTGACCGCTGGATGCCCGCTACGCTCGTGGGCCGCTTGACCGCTAAGCTTGTAGACCGCTTGACCGCTAAGCTTGTGGACCGCTAGACCGCTTGACTTGTGGACCGCTCAACTGCTAAGCTTGTGAACCGCTTGACCGCTATGCTTGTGAATTGCTTGACCGCTACGCTTGTGAACCGCTAGACCGCTAAGCTCGTGGTGGTTAACTTAGTTAAATTACATTTAACCAAATATTACAAACTACAATATTATTAAACACAAAAAAGTTTTGTCTTTGAGTTTTTTTTCGTGTAATTTTGGTAACAGCATACCTTAAGCTCAAGATTATCTTGCAAGATTAGCACAGTAGTTTTATGATGATTGTGTTTTGATAACTGCATCATTTGGTATTTAAAATTCAGTAACCAACGTCACTCCTGGCAGTGAAACCATCTTCTGCTACCATGGCAACCAACTCAGAGAGACAGATAGGTGAAACACTTACGGACAGCTTGTTAATAGATATATTGACCCCAGGATATCTACCCGATGTATCTGCATTACAGGTGCCGCCTGCCGCATACCAAGGTAAATATAATAATAATTATTATTCCAAGGCTGTTTTTTAATGATCACCATTGGGATTGAAAGGGGCTTTGTCAAGCTATTTGCTATCTTTTTGAAAAGCTAAAACTTTGTTTCCAGCTATTGAATTCCAATAATGATGGTCCAGTTTTGTTATTTAAGACTATAATTTAGGCATTGAACCTGTTTCCTGTTATCTGCTACAACTGATGGCAAGGATGGACAAAAATTGAAACTTGAAAAAGTTTTGCGCCAACTTTTTCAAGTTTTGATGCCTTGCCTGTAAACAGACAAAAACAAAAAAAAAAACATATTACTGAAAAACACATTCTTAAACATCAGCAATTTGTTGAACAATTTGCATTAAAAAATTGTAATGGTTGGGGCTTCCTGATGAAATTTGTTTGATGCCTTTTCCATATCTCTAATGGAGCATTTTGTGTATGGGTAAGGCCGGGCACCAAGTAATGACATACCATATCTTCTTGATTAAACGCCGGACCCCCATTTAACGCCGGCCTTGAAGAAACACCAGGTTAAAACTGCCAACTTTTAAAAACACCGGGTGCATTTAGGTTACAAGGACCAGCTGCAAGTAACTAGAATCTTGTGAGCAGCACTGCTTTGAAATACAGCTGTACCAAGTACAGTATGTTGTTTTGGTATTTAATTAATAAATGTTCAAAGGAAAAATACTGCCTTAACAAAAGTAGGATGGATGCTGCACAATAAAATGTATGGTACCGTAATACTGTAACTTTGGGTAAGGTATGTACGGTTGTCATCCTTGGAGTTCCTGGGGCAGGACAAAGGGTAAAATCATCTGACGTGACAAACTGCCCCTGGGTCTCCAAGGATCAGTAATAATAAATCAAACTGAAAAACAAATGACAGAAAATTGCATTTCATTAATAAATGCCAGACCCCGATAAAACACCAGCCTCAAAAAAAGGCTGGGTCAAGACTGCCAATTTTTGAATTATTACCAGGGCAGTTTAATTGAAAAATATGGTAAGCACAGAATTGACCAGTGACAACAATATCCTCTTGACATAGCCCCTAGAAGGTGGAGGACTTTATATTATACATACCTTAATACTTACATACATACAACTTTTATTTACACACAATATTAATTCAAAGCTACAAGCTTGTGGGGTCGTGTGCAAAAATTACAAATAAAATAAACGTTAAAAGTTATTAAAACTAGGAAATAAAATCGTTCAATCAAAAATACACATTAGAAGTACAAAAAACTCTTAGATCTGTTGTTAAGTTTGTGGCTAAAACGTTGAAATTAAAATCGAAAAAAGTCAGCGTGCAAAGGAAGTCATTTTTACAGCTTGCCATTTGGGCAAACTGCAGCTAACATTTACTAGCCCAAAAAACATTTTGATGAGAAGATTGAGTTCACAGTTCTTCTGTAATTTGAATTCCTCAACAAAAATTCACTTGCCCGTCGGGCAAGTTAATAACAGAATTCACTAGCCCGATAGCAAAATCCACTAGCCCCGGGCTGTTGGACACTACAAGTTTTCTTTACACACTGAAAGTGCAAGACTTGATGACTTTTTTCAGAAAAGATTTCATGTCTGTGCAATCTAAAATAGAACCATTTAAACAACCTATGGTGTTCCAGAGGACATCCCCTCTATAAGCACGAAATGTAATCAGAAAATGTAGAGTGTTTTGCTTGTTCAGTCAACAGTAATAAGAAATGATAAGACATATAATTTTTATTCTTTGTAGGCCCTTACCTGGAGATTCTTGAACAACCTAAACAGGTAACAAAATGAAAAAAATATAAACATTCTTTTACATTTAGTCCAAGTGAGGTTTTGATGTTAGTTGTTAATGTGGTTCAATTTATTGTATTTGGTTTGAATTTTATTTCCCTTTGTTTTCATACCCGACCATACCTTTCAATTTATGCAATGGAAATTAGAAGTTATATGAAGGTTAGACTTGAAGCGCAGCATATGCATGCTACTTTAGACGTAATTTATTTTTTCCTTTGTTTTCTTAGAGAGGCTTTCGTTTCCGGTATCCTTGCGAGGGCCCATCTCATGGAGGCTTACCAGGCCAATATTCTGAGAAAGGCAAGAAGTCATACCCCTCAGTCCAACTGAGTAACTATCATGGCCCTGCCCGTGTTGTTGTGTCATTAGTAACAATTGACGAGCCTTACATGCCACATGCACACAGTCTAATTGGAAAGAATTCCAATGATGGGGTGGTGACAGTACAGATTGGCCCAGAGCATGGAATGACAGCAAGGTATTGTAACTTGGACATTGTAATGAAAATTAAGGTTACAGTAAGACATACATTGTACATGTCAGAAATATGCTTTTTGGAAAGAGTTTTTTGCCTGGTAACCACACAGCAATTCCTGTTTCTTCTTAAGGGAGGTCAGAGTTCTCATTTACCTTCAGTTTTATAGATCTGTCCTTATTGATTCCCCCTTTTGAAAATGTCTCCAAATTGCCATCCAACTCAGGCCTGTAGCCAGGATTTTTTATGGGGAGGTGTGATCTATCATGGAGATGGACCAAACGATGCCAGAGGTGCTAGTTTCTGGGTTGGGGGGAATTAAGTTGCCTGAGACTGCATTTCAAGCATTTTGAAAAACTTGGATATTTTTCAAACGTTAAATCTTCAAAAGTATTTTTTTAATAGGGTACTTTATTTTACACTTTGTTAGAATAGAAATGTGGGATGTTAAAAGAAAAAAAAAAGGAGAAAGAAAGTTGTAAATCCGTATTATTCGCTAGGTTTGATGCATGATGTTGCATCATGATCTTTCAATAGTGTACCAAGCTCAAGCTTCCTTGCATGTTTCTTAGAAACAGATCAACCACAGACTTCTTTCTTGTCAATATATGTTAGATAGTGGATGTGTTTGTTACCCAGTGAAGAGAGCCTCTCTTGTGCAATGAATACTACTTTTTGGTCACAGAAAATAACTTATATTTTAAACAACCCTCAAAGACAAAAGGGCCACACAAAAAGGAACAATGCATATCACAATCTCCTTCAAGAGAAAAAGGATCTCAGATCTCCCTCTTTTAATTGGAAGGAGCCCATCAGTGGCTTCTGTAAGTAGCCTGCGTAGCAAGTGTTTCGGTGCATTTTCTGAGCAAAGAATGAGAAACAAGAAAAGTACAGTGAGTGAAAGAGTGGGGAGGAGTTGGTCAGCAAGAAAAGGTGGACCACTGGGTTCTGTGGGGGGGGGGGTGCAAGTGCACCCATCACCCCCCCTCTCTACGGGCCTTGCAATAACCGTAAATCTCCATGGCAACCAGCTCTTGTAAGCGACCACCTCCCATAAGCCCTCACCTATCCACAGCACCGACATTTTTCTTTACAGCCTTACAGTCGAAACCTTTCACAAATGACCACCTCCTGTAACTGACTACTGACCTACTTAGCTGACTTGCAGTTTCTTGAGCTTTGATAAAGGTGAAACATGTCAATCAATCTTAATTATGTCGCATGGGAAAATAGCCTTAAGTTAACCTGGAGTAAAAAAGAATTGGTTGTGTTTGAAGCTTTATCTTACTTAAAGTAATTATTATAAGTTACTTGTCTTGAAATATTTCTTAGCTTTTTTAGGCTCCGGTGTAAAGACTACCTATGTTTGCTCTATGTACTGTCTTACTTAGAGAATACGAAGAACTGTTAACAACTGCAGGGAACTGCACAATCATATAGACCATCAAGTGGATGTGCCCAGACCTGACTTCTCAGGAGGGATCACCTGTTGTTCGATTCTTGTAAAAGATCGCCTATCATAAGCAACCACTTAGTTTTTGCCTTTTTGGTAGTAACTCATCAGAGGTTCATTTTAGAAGATCCTTTGACCATCAATATCTTGTTACTTTGGTTATTTAATGCATATGATTGTTAATAATATATACTTTTTCAATAATGATGATGATGATGATAATTTTTCAATTTTAGTTTTCCAAACCTTGGTATTCAACATGTAACAAGGAAGAGTGTGTCTAAAGTGCTGATGGATCGATACCTTAAACTTCAGACACTCCACACAGCAACCCTCAATGCACTATCAGTGGACAGCAAGGGGTTTAATGCGGACACAGCAATGAGGGATCAAGGTTTAGCTGATGGTGATCTCTCAGAATTTAATAAAAATGTGGCTGAAGCAATTGCGGGTGAGTTACAAATAGTAAATGAATAATTCTAATGTACAGTTTACTTCAACAGCTGTACCCTTAACAGTCTGCTCATGTAATGTAATTTAATTTATTACACAAATATAAAAATTTAATTAAAGAAAAATGCAACTTTGTGATTTTTTTTCACAAACATTTTTCAGTTGGCATAGATACATACACTAGCATTTGACTTCTAATCAAATTGTTCACTGTACAGACCTGAGCCCTCGAGTTGAAGTTTTGATGTTTTTTGTGGTCTTTTTTTAACTTAATGTGGGTTTTGACATCTAAAAAAATTCATGTGAGAAATGTATATTTTACAGGTGAAAATTATATCCATGTTAAAATTTTTAACATAGGTTGATTCTCATCAAGTTCCTTTGTCTCCTAGGGCCAGGAGTTTTAAAATGGCTTTATCTTGTTCATCTTAATTAGCCAATTAACACTAAACAGTTCCTGTCATTTTTAAATCAGACAGTCAGTGGCTTCTCCCATAGTGGGTGCAGGGTAACTGAGTTCTGTTTATCTGATTTACAGAGGAGGAGTCACGCAAAGTGCGGCAGATGGTGGAGGAGCAGAAGACTAACATGAATTTAAGCGCTGTGCGACTGTGCTTTCAAGCCTACCTTCCTGATGAGACTGGCTGCTTCACTAAAGCATTGCCACCTTGTATCTCAGATCCAGTTTATGATTCAAGTAAGATGATCTTAAACTTGGCTTATTCATACATAGGCACTGTAAATGCTTGCAAATATTATTGATACTGCTATATCCTATTCTTCAGTTGATGTTTGAATTTATAGTGTCAGCTCTTCTTGGGTGTTATTATTAAATAAAACCTTTGTGTTCATAGAACTGGGTCATTTTTATGCCCCCTATCTCCCCACATTGGCAATGACCTCTTGTCACTTTCTCTGTCTCCGTAGTTGCTATTGTGGTGAGGTTTTAGCTGTAGTCATAGGGCATGCATTGTACAGATTGTCTGTTATATAACCCTTGGCTGTTTTTCCCAATCAGAAGCCCCATCAGCGTCCAATCTGAAGATTTGTCGCATGGATCGCAACTCTGGATGCGTTACAGGAAATGATGAGGTGTACTTGCTTTGTGACAAGGTGCAGAAAGGTATGTCATTTTAAAGTTTTTGTACATGTCAGATGACATTAGAAAGGGTGAGAAAAGATTTTGTCAATATTATAATTAGCACCCGACTATCAAAGCATACATGTAGGCATTAGTCTCTGAATCATGGTTTCTGATGCCTGGGAGTTTGGGGGCAGGGAGTGTGTACTCCATGATCAGTGTTATGGTGGGTGTGTAACACTGGTATCCTGGAGCCATGGTCTACACCAGACCATGTTATATTATTACTCTATTCCCCAGGACACCAGTAATAGTTGTTGTGAACACTTTGACTCTAAAATCCTTATCACCCATCTGTTTCTTATGTTTCGTGTATATCTGTAATGTGTTGCAGACGATATTGAAGTTGTGTTTTATGAGACTGACCCTAATACTGGCAAGAGGTCATGGGAAGCTCATGGAGTCTTCTCTCCCACAGACGTCCATAGACAGGTGCAGTTTATCCGCAATAATAGTAATTTAACCCATATTTATTTTGGGCCCAGAGATTTTGGTGAAAAACACAATTTAAAGCTAGATAAGCCATTTCCTAGTCCTTATCTAACCAAATGAAGCAAAACTGCCCAAAAGCATTGTTTACTTTGCAAGTTAAACATGATGCTGGCTTTCTTCCCAAAGTAAAGTTATGTGTGTACAACTTCTGAAGTTCGGGTGTGGGCAGAATTTGAGTCTGCATTTTCTACTTTTATATTTGCTAATCCTTTCCTCTTCTCCCCTCTTCTTTTTCTTTTCTTTCCCCATTTTTTCTTTTGCTGGGTATTTACTATAAATCCTCATTATAAAGACAGTTTGAAGAGTTAATTCCATGAAAACCCCAGGAAAAGAATCTTTTGAAGGACACTGGTAGCAATATTAGATTGTGGAACAAGATATCATTGGAAGTTTTAGGTCAACGTGACGTGTACTTGGTTTTTTGCATTTTTCTCCTACTTATCTTGAATCATTCTCATTCTGGTATGATTTGAAAGATCTTTTCCCCATGCAGGAGTTAGGAATAAAAGTTATCTATGACTATTAAAATTGTTTTTGTCACAAGGGGTACAAGGGTTATGCATGAGTTTTGAATGTATTTAAATTGCATGCCTTAAACCTGGAGCTTGGAGGGTTGTAAGTTCGATTCTCACCTGGAGCTCGGAATTTTTCTGAGTTTTCTGGTCTTAGAATTCTTCTTCTTTCAAATTAAACATGTAAGTAGCAAAGGATTTGTAGAACATCCCCCCTAAACTGAATAACAATGAAATTTATAGGTTGCCATAGTGTTCAAAACACCTGCATACTGGAATGTTGCCACTGAAAATCCTGTTAAGGTTCATCTTGAACTGAGGCGGAAGTCAGATCAGGAAACCAGTGAACCTGTGGAGTTCACTTATCAACCTCAGATGTTTGGTATGTGGCTCTCTTTCTCATAGCCTATGAAAACATCTGTTTCTCCTTGCTCTTCGCCGTTGGGGACGTTTCGTGAGGAGGAATGTCTGTGACTCAAGGACAGAAATTCCATACTGATGATACAAATCAATGTTTACATAATAAATCCGGTAGTCGTGGGGTTCCAAATATATTTTTGTCCAATTTTCTGAATTTTACGTGTCTTCTGGTCAATTTTGGTGAAGTGTTGTGTTCATCTGCCAACGAGCTCCAGCAAAACTCAATTGCTTCTTCTAGAGAACACTGTATTTTGCAAATATTGACTGTTTTGTTAGAGATTCTTCGTGTTTACATTTGACCTTTGTGGCCTTTTGTCTTTTGTCTGTCATTCATAAACAATAGCTAAAACAATGTAACTACTCCGTCGACCAATCATCGCTTCTGACTGGATTTCGGACCGATTTTACGTCATCAGTATGGAATTTCTGTTGCTGAGTCACAGATGTTTCTCTGCTCGAAATGTCCCCAGTGGTGAAGAGCGAGGAGAAACGGATGTTTTCGCAGACTATCTTTCTCAGAGATTGTTTAGTTAGAAACAATGATAGCTATTGCTACAGTGTTGACAGAATCATCGAAAATTTGCTATTTAAATTATATGAAAAATATTAAATAATATGCAAGTAGATAAATATTGCAAAATCAAAGCTGTTGATTTGAATGTATTTTGCAAAAAAAAAAAGAATATGTATGTTACAGGCCAAAATTAAATTCAGAATAATTATTCACTTAGAAGGGAGGCAATCTAAAGCAAAGTAGTAGATGCATATTTAAAAGCTTTTTCTACGTCAATGTTGTCTCAATCTTATAATCCTGTAAATTTCATCAATGTAAAATCATTTCTTATATGATTTTGGTGAGTGCAAGGCTTTCCTTGGCATTGACAGGAATAATATCAGAATTAATCTTTTGCAAGATTTGTTATTTCTATTGAGATGTATATATTGCTTTTGTTTTTAGACAAAGAGCAGATTGGTGCTAAGAGACGGAAGAAGATTCCGCATTTCTCAGACTATTTTCCAGGGGGAGGGGGTGGCCCACCCAGTGTGGGTGGTGCTGGTGGTGGAGGAGGTTTTGCTGGTTTTGCTGGGTTTGGATTGTTTCCAACCTTTAACTTTATGGGATTACAGTCCAGTAATCAAGGTGAGTTTAACAGAAGGTACTTGGCTGTTGCATGTGGCTCTTTTTAAGGTGCAGCAAAGATTCTTTGAAAAATGATAAGTTAAACATGTTGTTTTTCCTGTTAACTTCAGCTGCCCTCAGATGTTCAAACGTTGGATAGCGCTGTCCACCAGGCCCCAGTTGTTCAAAAGGTGGATAATGCTATCCACTGGATAACACATTATTGGACTGACCAACACTTACATGTACATGGATAGTGATTTATCTGGTGGATAGCCCTATCCAGTGTTTCAACAACTGGGCCCTGATAAATTACTATCCAGCGAATAAGTGTTGTCTGCTGGACAGAAATTTATCCAGTGGATATAAGCGTTATCCACCCTTTTAACAACTTTGGCCTGATCTGTAGTACTTTTGTCAGGTAACTTTGTGGACAGTGCCTTCCATGTTTTGATACTAGTAACCATGTTTTTGAAGACAGTCATTGATATTTTTGTTATGTAAAATTGATTTGATCAGATTTGTTCCTGACCATGCAATCAGCACTCTTCTTGGTCACTTTTTATATTCTGTCCTGACTTATAATAATATTACCTATGTACGTTGTACCATTTTTTCCACAAACATTTGACTTGATTCACACAACTGAATCAGAATATTATTGTCTGTCACATTAAGGAGATGGCTCAGGCACTTCTCAGCAAGGACAGTCGACTTCATCTGGGCAGACACATATGGCTCAACAATCAAGCAGGTTACCAGAATCAGGTTAGTGGATCAGCTAATGGCTGTGAGATTTCAAACCATAGCACACCATTATACTTTATTGCTTGTTAATTGTGTTCCAAGGCAGGAATGATCCCCAGTGACTTTTAGTGCTGATTCCAGAAGTTTGTTCTTTAACATCTGCCTTAGAAACACTTAAAATGTTTGTTGTCTTGTGTTAACAGTAAATTGGTGTCAACTTGTTGAGTGGCTGTATTTAAGACTAGTGACTGGCTGTATGGTGTGTCCTGTAAGTAGCAGTAAGATAATAGTTAGCGGTATGTTATTGTTTTCATAAGTGTTTTGTCTGTGAATGTTTGAAATATAACAAAACAAAATTTTAGCTTAAAGAAGGGCAATACAGTGTCGTCGAAATTTTTTTATCGGTTTAATGGTTTTATTGGTAGTCTGATTAAATTTGCCTTGTTATAGAAATCTCACTCAATGAATTAGCCTGGAATCTTGCTGAGAAGTCAGCTGCAGCTATGCGTGATTATGCTACTTCGGGTGATGTGCGATACCTGCTTGCTGTACAGAGACATTTAACAGCTGTCCAAGATGATAATGGAGACACGTAAGTAACATGACTGTGTATAACTATATGTAATTCTAAATCTTAACCCTGATGCGCTTAGTTCATGCAGCTCTCTTTTTCTGCAGAAGCTCTTGTAGACTTCAAAAGTTGGCAATGGTTATATGGAAGATGGAAAAGGCAGGCCTCAGCCTTTCTCTAAATATCCTTCCTGTTTTTCTGCCTACTTTATTTCTACTCTCTGTAGCCTCTGTATGTACCAGTATAAGATGATGATGATTATTATTATTATGACATCTTTAGGACTTGTTTGGCACTCTTATTGCTGCAGTTGCCTTTTGACCCATTCAATTATAATAATTTCTGTATGTCTATAAAACTTGCACATGAAATTTTTACTGCTATTTTTGACTGCTTCAGTAGTTACCCCATTAATACTGACTTTTATATTTTCAAGACTGTTGAGAGTTGGGGACGTTTGAGAATAAGGAGTGCTTTTTCAAGTACATTTTAATAAAAATTATCTGATAGTGAAGAAAAAAAATGTAAATAGTAATTATTTGATGCTCAAATGAACTAATCTACTTGTCTTAAACACTGGCTGCTTCATTTTGAGTTGACTTTTGATTTTTCTGTTCAACAGAGCACTTCATCTTGCAGTTATCAACTCACAGCAAGAAGTGATGCAGTGTCTTGTTGAAGTTATGGCTGGACTGCCTGAAACCTTTGTCAATGAATTTAACTTTTTAAGACAAGTAAGCAGTAATTATTTTTTTCTTACACTGTTGTTACAGTATAGTAGCATTGTAGTAAAAAAGAAGAATTTTATAACATAGCGCCAGAAACTCGAAATGAGTTTCTGATAGCGCATGCTTGCCCCTATCTACATAGGTCCTTTTGAGTACCAACTTGGGAAGTTAAAAAAGTCTCGTGCTCCCCTAAACGCTTCAAGTGCATCTATAACTCGTTATACGCATGCTACAGTGTAAGCATGAAACGATTCTCAAAAAAACCTGCTTCATTGAGTGTCACTGTATCAAGAATGAATTAAGGTCTAATAAGGGCACTCTTGTTACACTGATCTTATCCCCAGCTAAAGATGGCATGGCCATTCCTAAGAGGTCATTAAAGCCACTCTTAATGCAAGCCATTTTCAGGCAAAGGGTAGAACCTTCTTCCCTGGTTTTTTCAAGGACACCGGTAACTGGTTTCACTCCAGGAATTAAACCCACAACCCTGTGTAGTTACCAACTAAGCCAACCCAGTCATGGTCAAAGTTAATTCTAAATGGGGTCCTGATCAAGTTTGCCTCTAGTTTGTCACATTCATAATTCTGAAATCAGCCAGTCAGTCAATCAGTTGGCCAGTTATTTACTCTGCCTGAGGTCCTGTTAGGGTCAAATTCCAACTAGGACATGGCCTTGAAACATTGACATACAGTGTAAGGTATGGGAAATGCGGGCAACATACCACACAAAGATGGGTTGAAAAAAACTGCGACTGTGACAAAAATTAGTGCAAATACATTGGTAAACTACAGACAGGGACATGGCTTTCTCCTCAATATGCAAAACAAATGGTTTTGAAATTCAGACTAAGGACATAAACTCCTGCCACTATAAAGAAGGCCTTGCCAGAAAATCCATAGTCAGTAAATGGTTTCGTCACTCATTCCTGATCTTTCATTCAGTCAGTTAGTTAGTCAGGCAGCCAGTCAGTCAGTCATTAAGTCATGTTAATCAATCTTTCTTCGCTGCCCTTCAGCTAATCAATAATAAATTGCCATAAAATATTTACTCTCCCCAGACTCCTCTCCACCTGGCTGCCATCACCAAACAGCCCCATGCTCTTGATTGTCTCTTAAGAGCTGGTGCGAATCCCAGGCTGCGTGATCGGCACGGCAACACTGTTGTGCACATTGCATGCACTTATGGAGATGGTGCCTGTCTGAAAGCACTGTTGAATCACAGTGCACCAAAAACTGTGCTTAATCTTCAAAACTACCAAGGCAAGTGCTTTTAGGAATATTCGACATGTGAAAAGCCTGGGCTACTTAAAACCGTCATAAACTAAGGCCTCTTGTATAAAACAGGGTAAAAAAGGTTTTGTCAGAGTTTGAAGACCTCAGTGGCACAACCCTACTTAAGCTTCTACTGTGCGCCCCAGCCTCCTGGGTAGAGATTTTGCATGGGTGTTACAAGTGTGAATTTTCAAGGGATGATATTCGAGGGATACCAAATTCCAGTTGTTTGAAAGTAACAGGGGTTGGAGGGTTTTGTAGAGGAGGTGTGGGTTTTTCCTGGAACGACTCATCTTGTGATGTTGCAGAGTTCATTAGTTACCAAAATTGTCGAAAATAAGGCAGTACTGACTATATTTAATTTTGCTTTCAGGTTTGACTCCAGTCCATCTAGCAGTGTTGTCAGGCAGCAAAGATGCACTGAAACTTTTGAACTTTGCAGGTGCCAACCTGAGTGCTCAGGTGTGAAAAGTTTTCATATTTTTTCAGACTGGCCATTTTAAGTTTAGGCTGTGTGACCACATTTCGTAGTCATCACCTTTTCAGCGTTAATCCTTGGAAGTGGCCAAAAAATGATTTTAAATAACAGTATTAAAATACCATCGGTTATGTAGCCATTTTCTCACGTAAGTCTGCAAAACTGACGGTGTTTACTGTAGCTTTAAGTCAGGTGATTCAGTTTTTCTGCACACCATTTGCACTTACATTCTGAGTGTAAATCCGCCATATTGCGCGCAATTTACACGCGTGTACTGTAAATGCTTCAATTCCCGTGGCCAGTGCTGTATCCCGGCCATGCTTTATAGTATGAACGTTTGATTATATTTGCTGTTCTCTGTCAGGATGGTACAAGTGGAAAGACCCCTCTTCACTATGCAGTAGAACAAGGCAATCTTCCCTTGGCTGGTTTTCTCATTTTGGAGGTTAGTTTTCCTTGTCTAATTGCATCCGGGTAGTATCACCTGTGACTGATGCGACAGGGTCCGACGAGCTATGGGTTTGGGTGGGCAATGGTTTCGCTGGAATATTTTATTACCATTATTAACTAAAATCTTTAATCTTTGTGTTGCATGAACATCATATCATATTGTTATTACGGTATGTTTTAAATCTACTTTTTTGTGCAGGAAACTAACAGAATTGTGATAAAAATTAGACAGATTTTTCAGGATTGATAGAAATAAACGCGTTTCTGGTGATTTCAGAAGCTCTAAATGTTAAACTTTTCGAGGAGAACATGCCCACGAACCCCTCCTAGATAAGCTCGAGCCATCGGCGCTCACTGAAGCCCACCAGTCTAAAATATGCTGCGCAGTCCCTGCACGATTATTAATCCATTAAACTGTGCTACCCTTTACTGTTATTAATCGAACCGTTTGGAACTGACTTTCAGGGCAACTGCGATGTAGATGCGTCCTCATTTGATGGCAACACCGCGCTTCACCTAGCTGCTGGATACGGACTCAAGGGACAGACCGCTTTACTTGTGGCTGCTGGAGCTGACACATCGTTACAGAACTCTGACGAAGAAACTGCTTTTGACTTGGCTAACGTAGCGGAAGTAAGGTTTTGTCAATGTCAACAAAATAATTGAGAAGACAGAAAGCGCTATATAGAGAAATGCCTGTTGAAGAGTTGGAAGTAAGATTTGAAAAAAGGTGTTCAGAAATTGTTTTCCAATGTAGTCCTGTTCGCTATGCATCGTATGACTGCTTTACCTTGACTCTCTTATCAATGAATGGACGCCAATACGCCGAAAGAATAGCTTAAACTACGATAAGGGAAAAGGGGGGTGATCCTGTAATGATTTTAAAGCTTCACCCCCGTGGCTAGCCTTTTGGCTCTTGACCCACACTTAATTTGGGTTTGGAAATCTTAATTTTATGTCCACAGTAAATTAAAAATCTCGACCCTGTCATTTTGTATCCTTGTAACTGAATTAGTTTCTACCTTATGATTTGTCTCCAGGTTCAGGAAATATTAGATGAAGATGAAGCACTAAGTACCGATCCTTCTCAAGGTAGGCAACGAACTCGTAGAGTCTTAGCAATGCGGCACATTCGATACTGTTGTGGTCAAATGTTTTTTTTTTTTTAATCTTTCGGATGGCTCCATCACAAATGCCAAAAGTGCGGTGTCTAATTGCGAATTACCCGACAGGTGTGTGAAAAATGCGCTCTGTGCAAAATCTAGTAGTCGTTACTTACTTGTGCAAGACTTTGCAAGGGACCGAGCATTTGAGACGTCTCCAATACTGCTACATGGGTTGGGTCCTTCTTCAGCGCCATTTACAGACGTTGTGAGGTGACTCAGTTAAAGGTGGCACCCAAGACGTCATGTTGAACTGACCTGATTCGCTTATTTATATTTTTATTTTTCAGATATATCCGCTGGTGTGGCGAATATGAAACTTGGCCAAGGTTGGTGTCTTTACTCAAGATTTGTTGAAGAATTATCAGCCCTTGATCAATTAATTTTACCCCAAAACCTTGCTGATACGTGCATAAATCGCCGGGAGCTTTTTAAGGGGAGCGTACCTAACTCTCGTTCGGCTGTCTGCGTCCCTTGGCTTATCTTGTCTATTTAAGTACATGATATAGTATTATATACATATCACATTCATATTTTCAGGTGACCTGGACAAGCTAGACCCGTATGTTCGACGGAAAATGGCTCAAAGACTAGACATCCCTACTGACGCGAACTGGCGTGAGTTAGCCAGGAGGCTGAAGCTAGGTACATTAGAGAGGGCGTTCGAAATACACACGAGTCCAACCATTCAGGTGCTGGCTGAATATGAGGTATGTAGTCAGCTCTTTGATGCGTCAGATCGACTGTGGACATGTCGCAAGTATTGCTTTGTAACAATTATGGCTGGTATCTCTGTGGTGATGAAAAGTGCGCGTCACACCTCAGTCCGATCATGGAGTTGTTGAGACTGGCGCATCTCCAATCAGTAGACACGGAAGCTGTGGGAATGTTTTAACGCAAACCTCCACTGTTACAACAAGTTGACAAGTTGACGACAACAAGTTGACATTACACTGCTGAAAATGAAGCTTAAATTTTAATTCTATTCCCAATCAGTCGATAGAAAATTTGGATGGCTATTGATGGATTTGAATCCTGCCATCTGGCTTTAAATGTTTACGGAATAAGGCTATATTCCAATTTCTTTGACCTGTTGCCCCCAAACATTGTGTTGCCAAATTTTGTTGCTCCGGGCGATTTTCACTTATTCCTTTCCTTGCTTGTCGCAGCCGTTGCAAACAAAGGAACCTCAGTTTATAATGGAATCGGAAACCACTTAACGTCGAAAAATTTCAAAATGGCAGCTCTCGAGAAATTTAGAGACGAAGACAGAGGCTATTCAGAAGTACATAAAGTCATTAAAGGGAGTTATAACTGTTATATGCTAACCTGTATTTCCTATGTTCGTTTTTCCCAGGCTGCGGAAGGAACTATCAAGACTTTAAGTGAGGTACTTTTTGACATGCGCAGAGGAGACGTGTTAGACATCCTTGAAGGCAGGCATGACTCCGGCTTTGACTCAGGGTTTGGATCCCAGTCTCTCTCCTTCAACAAATCAGAAGGTAATGTTTGTGCCTCCATCGATTTGGAATTAAAAGACGTCATTTTTGGACCTTTGGGTTTGTTACAACAATTCTCCAATTGCAGATTACTAAAGGGCTTTCTGAGTTACCTTGGGAGTCCCCACTGGTATTGACTGGTGATTTTTATCCACATTTGTGTGCAAATAAAGAGAAAAACCAAGCATATATCATTGAAATTGGCTTTATGAGTGGGTAATGAGTATAAAAAATGCCGCATAAGGTCATCAATATTCCAAGTGGTTAACCATGTCACCAAACTAAACCGTTCGGTGATAAAACGTTAATACATTTTAAGATAGCCAGAAATCAGTTTTCATTCTCTGGCGGATTTACTCAGGAGTGAAATAATTAAACGAAAATGTTTAAAAAGAACATCAAAGCATTTTGCTATGTTGATTTGTTTCTTTCTAAGAAAATCGAATGGCCCCGAGTAAAAGGTGTTAAACAGTAGCTGTTTCTTTTTAGAATTGACGTCTTATGGAGCAGGAATCTCTGAAGTCTCGCATAAGGTCATCAATATTCCAAGTGGTTAACCATGTCACCAAACTAAACCGTTCGGTGATATAACGTTAATACATTTTAAGATAGCCAGAAATCAGTTTTCATTCTCTGGCGGATTTACTCAGGAGTGAAATAATTAAACGAAAATGTTTAAAAAGAACATCAAAGCATTATGCTATGTTGATTTGTTTCTTTCTAAGAAAATCGAATGGCCCCGAGTAAAAGGTGTTAAACAGTAGCTGTTTCTTTTTAGAATTGACGTCTTATGGAGCAGGAATCTCTGAAGTCTCGTCTGGTTCTTCGCTACGAAAAGAAAAGGCCACTTTTGATCCGTCACGAAAGGCCGGACACTTTCGACCGAACAGACTGCACCAAGATGTGTTTTAACTACGAGCTGTGTTTTAGTACTAAATACCTAAATGATGAAAGTTACGAAACTTAGAGGTTATCCAGCATTTGTGGCATCGTGTATAACATGAGACAGTGTTACATGAAAATGTGTTTTGTGCCACACAACGCAAGGTAAAATCTCTGCATACAACCGTGAGATAGTCATTAGTCCACAGGGAACTTTTCTTGGTGTATTGTTGATGGTAGTTTGGTATTGTTCACCGAGTGTCTTCTGTTATATTATCGATCGCACCTTCTGCAACACCAATTAACTGCCCTACTAGGTAGAGTCAGACATTTGTAGAGATTTAATGTGTCATATGAATATCCTATATTATCGCCATTGTTCATATAGATAACTATCAATAAAGTAGAAAGTCAGCAATTGTTATTTATTTTAAGAGTCGATTCAAGACAATTTGTTTTTGAATGGACACCTCTTCTTAGTTAACAACAACTCAAAATAGCCATTATCAAAGCTTTAGTATTTTCTACGGAAATGAAATGGGCTACTTTAAATGTGAAAGACGTTCATATCTGTAGAGTATTTGCCTGCGTGAAAACTGTGTGGAAAATAGGCAGTTGACTGTCGTGAAGTGAAGTGAATGTACTCTGCGTAACCGCTCCCTGAGGGACCAAACTTAAATCTACCATAAATAAAAAAGGAGTTGGGAGACCAGGCAAGGATCATCCGGTCATGGAAGGGAGAAAGTGATGGGCCATGGGGCGTGACAACATTTTAGTAACAAAACCTCTGAAACATGGTGATTCCGTGAGGTCAAATAATGTGGAGATGGCTAGAGCGGGGATATTTACCGTCAGTTCTTTTAAGGCAATTTAATTTTTTGGGGGTAACTGGCATTGTAGGATTTTGATCTCCCCAATACAGTTGAACCTCTCCTCAAGGGCCACCCTTGGGACAGAAGAAAGTGGCCGCTAGTATGGACTGTCTGCCAAGAAAATTCACTGATTTGGCTTTGATCGTAGTGGCATTTCTAAAGGTGATAGATGTACTATCTATGCAGATGAAGTGTGCTAGTACCTCTTAAGAGGATAAATAGATGTAATAAGCGAAATATTCAAAGTTATAGTAGGCAAAAACTTTGTGCACAACCAGCTCTGCTGGCGTAACTTGGTGTCAAACAAAAGTTTTTAAAATTTTGACTAGCCCTTTTCATTTTTCTGAGCAGTGTCTCACCGCGTTTAAAGTTGTTAAGAGCAACCAACGTAAATGTTATTTAAGCCTGGTATGCCCTCGTAACCTGCATGACAAGCCCAAGGAATTTATGCAGAGAACTCCAGAGTAGCTTTGTGACAGGTTATTTCTATTGTTATTGAAAATTATCTTCTTTCTATCGATGTGATTTGATTTTCATTAGTTAAAAGCCTGAAATAGAATTTGTTTGTGTTGTTTTTTATACGTAAATAATTTGAGCCTGAGAAGGTAAAAAGTATGTATCCACGAGAAAAAGATGACATTATTGTTGACGTACTTTCATAAAAAAATCCATTAAACACGAACCTACAAAATTTTAACTCAAAGAGTAAAACAGTTAGTTGAGTTTTAAAGTTAGCGTAAAGTTTCTATTATATCTTCATGTCTTTTGGGAATTAAAGTGTTGTAACATATTACTTTATCAATTAAAAATAGCGTTTTAAATTTTTGGGGGCTTCATTAATTTTGCTTATAAAGGCAATACTGAGAAGTGTGTAACAGCGAGCTGCTTTACGGTCATTTCGCCCTTAAGTCATTTCGCCTCGGTTGCCTAGCCGCCTATTTAAGATCGAGGAATAATATATTAGAAGCGTGCTTGTTTTGGGTTTTGGGTGAAATGACCGGTAACCACAGCAAGAATATCTTTTCCAAAACTGATTGCTAGTCAATGAGGTATTTGGTGTATGTAAATTGTGTTTAACTTATGTGTGGTAGAGTAAAAACGAAAACAAAGTCGAAAGTGCTAATATTAAACTTTAATGACAAGCTCAATAAAAGTTAATTGATAAAACTAAATATAACTATTCTTGTTAAACGTGTGTCTAGATATTATCAAAGCCCCGGTCAAACTAAACAGTCACAACGTCTTTAATATGTTAATCTTAACAAACACACGCACAGAATATTAGTTAAGCCGTACTTGCGAAAATACAATAAAATTGTGGCAGTGACCCAGACAAACGCAACATTTCAGGAACACTGCTGCAAAGATTCTAGTTTGATCTCTTTACATCTTGCTAGAGTGTTGGGTAGGGCTTCAAACACTCGCAAAGTCTGTTCTCAAACAGTGTCGTGAAATTGGTGTGCCACTGTTTTACTGGGGTTTAAAAAAGTAGAATATGTGGATGCTAAATCGTATTCTAGGAAGTGAACCGGAACTAACGTGTAAACGAGGCCACTAAGGGCATAGTTTGTATGACATGAGCCTCGAGTTGTACCCCAGTCCCAGCTCTTTAAATTCTTGAATTTGTGTGCACCTTGTATGGGAAAATGGTACAAAAAGCTTTCGGTGCATCGAATTTTGGGATCGTTTGGGTTGACAGGCCTTAGTGATTATTGGTGACTCCCTGCCGAAATCTTATCGTCGAAAGCAAGGATCCATTCTCCTTATTGTTAGGTTGATGGAGTGGATAATGAACCTCAGGACTTTCATTGATTCTCTTTCAATAGGCGTAGTTAATGTTCTGGTCTACTCACGCTGAGTTTATTCCGTGAAATTCATCGATATAAAAAAGCAAGTTTACTTCGTGTCAGCTCGGAAGTGTCTCGCGAGTTGTTGAAACTAATTCCACTGGAAGAAGTTGAAAGGTAACTGGGTGGAAGAAACTCGTTGATCTTTCTCCTCCTTTTCCTGTTTGTCACTCTGTCAATCAATCGATGCTTCATCGGTCTAATAATCCGCTTAAACCGCTTGTTAAGGTATCCGTAAAGAACGAAATGAATGACAGTTCCACAATGAATCAAAGTGACCGTGAATACTTTTGCTTTGTGTGACAGCTGACCTGTCAACATGGCCGTAACCAGAACGACGAGATTCGGTAAATGACATGCGCTTAACGTACCCACCAGTAGAGCAATCATTTGAATATTCTTAATCGATACGCGAATAGTCCTTTCCGCGATTCGTCGGCTGCTAGAGTCGATGCTGTAAAAATCTGGTGGTAAATTGTCCTTCTTTTGGTGAAAATAAATGACCAAGTTTCCGTAAATAAACGTTGCTCCAAAATGCATAAGACCCAGAAATGTAAATTGTGCTGCAGCTACTCCCCGTGGGTATGCGGTGAAATTGATACGTCCTTGTTCTTCGTAAAATGACACAAGCGCTGCATAAACTAAAGAAATGATCCACGTTAAACTGATGAAAACTCCGATTTGCTTCATGGAAACGCGACAAAGCTTTTCCCCGCACAGAGCCAGGCCATATCTCATAACGGCAATAAGGAACAAGGCCTGAAAATATATACTCATGGAAAATGCTTCAACGTAACTTTTCAAGTAACTAAATTGCGACGACTCGCAAGAGCTTAACTGCAGTACGTCGGCCAGCAATGTAAAAGACCCTGATACAACTCCTACAAGAAGTCCTGCAGCACATAAGTTCAACACCAGCATGGCCGAAGGTATGCGTAGCTTCCTTTCCTTGTAGACGGCGTAAAATAAGCTTGAAGCAACCAAGAAAGAGGTCAAAGCGAAAATACAGAACACCATGATAGCAAATGCTATGCTCAGCTTATTTACAGCGTCAAAATCCATATTTAGCAGTCTAAGTTCACTTTAAAATTTTGTGACAACCTGTTGGGTACATCTGGTCAATGTCAGTAAGACCTGGACAATTATTCATGCCTTAGCCTTCATTCGCAATTGTAGCGTGCTCAGTGAATGAAGTGCATTCCTATTGTTTCACATCTTATCTTTCATTGTTTTTTATATCTCAACTATAATTTACACAAGCAAGTTTCCTTGACAACGTTTTTTGCTAATGCTTATGGATGACATTTGGGCATACCATGGGTTGTCGTGGTTTTGCGAAACTATTGTTGCTTCGCTTTTGTTTTTTGGTGTGGGTATTATCAGTGTCTTTTTAATTTTTTTAATTAACGTCAGTTTGTAACACTGGGCTCTACTGTTTCGTTTCGTCAGGTAAATAAAATTCCGGCAGGGGACCGCGCGCCACCACTGCGTAAAGGTGGATTTCCACTGTCGGATAATTTTTCCGTGCGTAAACACGTATATCTTGCGCGCGTAAGTAAAATAGAGACCTTGTATGGAAGGTCAAGCATATACCTAAAAGTTGAACCTCGCTCAACTTTTACGTTTACACGTGGGCTTTTATACATTGTCTCTATTTCATTTACGCACGTACATTTTTCGTACGTTAAAAATTACGCGACAGTGGAAATCAACTTCAACTACCGCGTAATTTTCACCTGAGGCTGAGTAAGTACGTAAATTTTACTCCCGTAAATAAAATAGAGGCGATGTTTGAAAGTCTGCGCACAAACGTAAAAGGTGAGCGAAGTTCAACTTAAAAGTTTACGCGTGACTAGCCTGTGAACAGGCTCTCTGTTTGGGGGAAAAAATAGCAAGGAAAGGGAAGGGAAAGGGGGCTTTTCCCTCCGTATTTCCACGCTCGACCAAAGGCCTGTTCACAGGCTAACGCGTGACCTTCCATACATTGCCTCTATTTTATTTATACGCGTAATATTCACGTGCTTACACAAGTAAAAATTACACGACAGTGGAAATTCACCTTAAGAGAGAATGTATGAGCTGTACCCGACTGGGCCCGATCTCAGTTTAATTCTTCATTCTAATAACCATTAGAAATATGTGTCTCGCATACCCTGGCCCAGCTAGGCGTTTAAAAATAGTGCCACTCAAGTTATACCGTGTAGGCGGGGTTCCCTGAACTGGATGGCTGACCCGCTGCGAATATCATTGTCGTTTAGAACCCTGGCCTAGTTCTTTATTTTCCCTTTTTTTTTCCCCGTTTTATTCTTAAAAGCATATTGAAAATAACTTTTAGCATAACTTCGAACGCCGGAGGAGAAAAAAGATAGCAATCAAACAAACAAGGCGGGTTCACTAGGTTCTTCGGCCGATCAGCGGGTAAAGTGCTAAGTTAATTTTGCATTGGGTGTGCCTCGGTGAAGCGTGAATTCCAAGGCTAATTTCCGAGACGAAAGCAAGGTTTTAGATAATGCGAATTTTGACAAAATTATATATCTTCGCTACGCGAGGGCCTCGCTGTCCTCGCTCCGCAAATAATAAAGGGAATGGGAACAAGCTTTCGGCGCAACGATTTCTTAATTAGTTCGGTGGACAAGCGTCACTTATGGTTGGTTACTGGCTTACTTGAATACCATCGACCATATATCCATCATAACAAACGCTAGTCTCCTTCGCAGCCGTTTTTTGGATGTCACGCAACGCTCCCCCTCACGCTTCCCCTTTGGGGGAGCGTTGCGTGATATCCAAAAAACGGCTGCGAGGGAGACTAACGCTTGTCCACACTCATTCAAACGATCTCAGAACTCACTACACCCAAAGCTTGTACCTATTTTTCCTAGGGTTCTTGAATGGGGGAATGCTTGATTTAAGGCGTTATTGACCAAGCTTGATATCAATAAAAGGATATATATTGAGCAAGTTCTCTTTTGCGAGCGAGGAGCGAAACCGCCCTCGCACTCTCTTCTCCCTTCAGGAGCTGCTCTTGCGTGTTTTATTGTGACTCCAACTAATAGAAAGCTTTCTCGCAAGCTAATAATTAGCCTGCGTAGCAGGCGCTTGGAAGTAGTGGGTGAAAGAGAGAACGGGCGCGCGCGAGGGAGACAAGCGTGTCTCCTTCTCGCGCGGCCCTTTTTTCTTGTGCCCACTACTTCCAAGCGTCTGCTACGCAGGCTAGCTAATAACGATATAACGACGATATTAGGCCTTTCCTCAGTTGAATTTGAGAATGGGGAGGCACTGAACTCGATCAGTTTAGTAGTTCGTATTTCAATGGCGACAGCTCTTTAACAAAAAGAAGTAAAAGATTTCAGAGACCTCAGTGTTTTGCATCAAGCTTTAGCTTTGTAATTATTTCAGGTCTGAGCCTGACCCAAATCAAGCGCATCATTGGTTTTTCCCCTAGCCAGAGGGATTTCGGTTTCGAAATCCAATGTAAACCTTATGTGACTCGGCCCATCTCAAAACTATCCAGTTTTGAAAGTTTGTCATGAACGATTACCACTTTGACCTTTTCCCAGTGAGTATTCAGCTTATTTTGGGCTCCTTCAGTTTATTCTAAGAGTCCAGTAAATAAACTCTGACTCTCACTTTTCTAATTACTGACGAAGAATCTCTAATTTCGTTTTGTGATGACAGTGAAAACAAATCAGTTCCATGTATAAATTATTTAAATATTACGAGGGAAATGTTTCTTTTCAATGGGATACCAGCTAGAACTGCATCAGTTGCGTATCACCTCAATTAATGGGCTCCATGCAGCCGTAAAGCAATAACTCGGCCCGCTAGGTTTAATCTTGACACATAACTTTGCCTGAGCGTAAGAAATAAGAATGCGATCAAGACTTTGTAATACAGAAGAGACGATATGCACCGTTTCCGTGTACGGGCAAGGGGAAATTACCTTTACATACCAAAACTTTAATACATCCTTCTTTGTTATAGTTTATGACGCGATGATATATACACCGTAATTTTAGGGAGTTATTATAACTCAAAAAAATGGAGTAAAAATTTTAGGTACAGGATAACTCCTTTTTTGGGGTTATTTTGACTCCTCAATATCTGGGGTCACTTTTACTCCTGAAAAAGAGTTCTTTAAACTCCTCTTTGGAGTTAAAATAACTCCCCAAAAAATAACTCCACTGTAAGGAGTTAAATTAGCCTCGCTAGAGGAGTTATTATAACTCCTTGAAAATTACTGTGTACTTATTACAGCCGAACTCGTAGCAAAAGGCATTAATCGATGAAACGCGGTCGCTAGGTTTCAATTAAAATTATTGAATGATAGATGATAACAAACCATAGTATCAATTGACCAATCGAATCTCTGATTGAGGAATTTTATAAATAGAACAGACATTGTTCTTGAGAGACCACTGTTTTTGTTGTTGTGGATGTTGTTTTTCCTTTTTGCTCTCTCAGCTTTTTGGAGAGCTCCATGTCAGGCAATTAACTACATTTCCGACTAGCAATTAACAAATGTTTGGTAAGTAAACAATATTTTGTACTTTTTTTATATCATTTTTTTGTCAATAAAAACCGCATGTTGAATCACGACACTGAAAAAGAACGAAGCTTTTTAAATCCATGAAGTCATCGACGCTATTTGTTTCAGACTAACACAGTTCTACAAGTCAAAAAACTGATGAGGGAAAAAAATTTTCCTTATGCATTAATATTTGGGCTCATGGTACCACGAGAATCCTATCCGGTAAAAATCTGAAGGCAAATTATTTGGTTTCTAAAGTCGCCTTTTCAGTGGTTTATATTTTTGAACTTGTGGAAAACTCCTAAAATAGCATATTCTTTTGGTTTCAATTTCCATTGATAAATACTCCTCTCTGAATTGGTATCACGCAGTTTTCACGTATGACACTGAAGAAAGTTTGGAAAACAGTTTTTCTTACCCTATTCGGCGGAGGTAGTCTCCTGATTCTTACTGCAGTCGTAAGTATATGTTTTCTATTGTTATTTTTCTTGAAATCGTTTCCAACCGGTCGGAAAAGGACTAAAAGCTAACAGTTTGCGTTCACGCCAGCATAAAGTGTGCGCACCGCTTGTATGTAAACTTTCTCGAGTGGATGGAACGGGTCTTTTACTACTTCTGAGTCAGTAATATTTTGAGACGAAGCCCGGGATTCACGAAGTTTTTAAATTAAATTAATTGTACCTCAGGTCGTTTCAAACAACCGTGGACCGAACTGTAGGTTTTTTCTATACATCTGTCCTGTTTTCCCGGTGGTTTGCGAAATACAACTTTTCCTCAAATCTAGCTCATCGCAGAACATCACAGGTAGTCCAAGCTCAAAATTGTTCCTGGCGTTAGGAAGGATTTGTATGGGAGAAAAAACGATTGTTTCTGTAACCTTTTTATATGACCAGATTTAAATACCAAAAACGGCTTACCTTAGTTTAAGTTGTTGTGGTTTGCTGTCTCACTCGAATAGGATAAAAATAGAGAGCAAACCGGTGCTATTACTAAAAACCCGTAAAATGGCCATAAATCGACCCGGGGACCACAAAGGACAGACTTAAACAAATCCTTAAATTTCGAAGGTTTCTCGGGACAAAAGTGCGTGACGCTCTTGTATCAAGCTTGGGTTACCAGTGATTTCATAGGCCATTTCAATGGGCAGCCATGTAGTTAATCCTGTTTCAAGCTAAACCTTCTTGTTCTGTGTATCAAGAATCATCCGAATTGAAAATATTTTGAAATTGTTTGAGTAATTTATAATTAACAATTAATGAATGAGGCTGAGTATCTTATGAAGAATTATGGAGATCGAGGAGGAATAATTCCTAGTTTAAAAACATTGCTAAAACATGGTTACCTCCATTGATCCATCGTTATTAAGTTCATCTTCGATAGTGCACGTTCAGGGTTGTTCAGCTACGCAAATATTCTCCAGATAGCAAATGTCGCCCTTCGAGTTGTCTTCTTGCTGTTCTTGCCATGTTTTTAGCTATTATTTCGCCTAGTTCTTACTCTTGAAACGCGGTGAAATGTCCGCCATTTTTGTTTCCACAACCAAAACAACTTAACCTCGTCTCCAGGTCTTCTCGGTTAACGGTGCATTAACCTGCAAAAACGCTACATTTTTGACGTCATTTCCTCGCTAAACACAAAATTCTTCCAAATTTGGTCATCAGCAACTGGTTATGGTGAATAATGCCTTTTGATTTTAGCCAATCAGAATCGGAGAAATATTTTAAATGAATAGTAAAAGAATTTTATTTTCCATTCCAGGATGGCGGAGTCAAACTTCAGCCTCTATACTCAGAATACTTCTCGAAATGGCAACTCACTTCTTAAGTTCGCGAAACAGGGGTCTGGCACCGAATATTTCGTCTTTGCATCTCTTCTGTGCGTCATCATGCTCCTTGCCTTATTTGGCAACTTAACACTCATTGTCACAATCTACTACAGGAAAAAGTTGCGCACGCGCACAAACTTGTTCATACTTAACCTGGCATGCGCAGACTTGGGAGTTGCATTGTTTTGCATTCCTTTTTCGATTATCACATGCTTTTCACGTGAATGGATATTTGGTAACAGCTTGTGTCAATTGAATGGCTTTTTAAACATTTTGTTTGAATGTTCGTCGCTTTTCACTCTAACGGCCATCAGCATTGAAAAGTACTTTTCCATTGTGAGGCCGATGCACCGTCACGTGATAACAACAAGACTGGCTTGGATGATGATGGCGATGACGTGGATATCCCCCCTGATTCTTGCTTCGATTCCGTTGACTGGTTTTACTGCGTTTAAATTCAAGGCTGGTGAGTAGCAAACCAAATAATTCCCCTTTTGGTTCTTTGTATTTGTGGTACTTAGAGGTAATTATTGAGATCCGATCGGTCGGACGCATTCATTTTCTCGAAAGGCAATGAAATTTTGTAAAAGTATCTGGGGCTCGTTTTTTATAGTCCCGGTAGCTATGCGGGCCTCGAAAATCAAATATTTATATCAAAATCTAAGGAATAAAAGGCAAGGTCCTAGCTAACAATCCAGTTTATCTTGCTTTGTTAACTGTAACTATTGAAAATTCAAACTTAAGAAAACAGCAACAGCTTTCGGAGCCCATTGATTATCGGCACTCTAGAAAAACACGTCCCATCCCAGGAAAGATAGATTTTTTTTGTGTTTGACAAAGAATGAAATGCTTTTCCACTGCTCTGAGGATGACTGTCGTCCAGTAATCCTGACCCGCAGGTTCTGGTAAAGGGCTCATTTCGAACTATATAATCTCTTAAAAACGAACAGTGTAGCCTACTAACGCAGACGTGTTTCTGGACTTAACTAAAACAATTATTCCTCGAGCCCTCATGTTAAAAATTAACGCTGAAATGTCGCGCCAGAATTAAGACTGAAGTAATTTGTGCAAACCCATGATATTAGTTTGTTTAACTTGCTCTGTCTTTCTAGGTTCAACGCAATGTGGTGTCCAGGTCCCCAGCAATCTTGGTCAAATAGTATTTGCTTTCGTGGCGCTTCTTGTCGCTTACCTCATACCGTTATGTATCATGGCATTCTGTTACGTAAATATCTTCAGTGCCGCCAGAAAACACGACATTCGCTTATCTCGGATGTCCCTTACAAGTACCGACACCGGCAAAGGACTTTCCTCTCAAAAACAAGTCGCAGTCACCATTTTCATAATGTTTATTACTTTTATTTTATGCTGGACTCCTTACTTTGCCTACATGACTTATATGACAGCGCTCCAAATCGAGACGACCGTAGATGCATCCATTCAGAACTTTGGACTAGCCTCGTATTGGTGCGCGTTTTTGAACAGTTGTATAAATCCCTTCTTGTATGGATTAAGAAATCCTCTCATTAGGCAAGAGCTAAATGCTAAGAGTTGCCAAAGGTTCCAAAATTGCACTCCTTGGAACAAAGCGATGCAACGAGCAACAACTAATCATAACTGTACACAGTATTGCAAAACCTGTTTGAAGCACATTAACGGGGCTCGCTTTGTGGCGTATAGAATCTCTGTAGCTCTAGCTGAAGAAAATACATTAAATCCAGACGCTGGAATTTCCATAGTAACCAGTGAAGAATTCCAAATGGGATGTCCCGAGTTACAACTCTTATCAATCCAAGATTTGCGCAAAGATTTTGCCAGTAAACAGCCTTGTGGCGGAAACCAAACAATGCCAAGAGATTTGACAGAGCTACCCACTCTATTCCAAGACACCAACTTGGACCACACTTGGAATAGGTCCTGTTCAACACATTCAGGTTTCGAAACTGCTCACGTACATGTGATGGATAGACGTAACGAGGTCACGTGTTCAAACGATGACTTTTCAGAAGAAATTTTGTGTAGCGACGAGGAGTCTACTGCGTCTGTTAATTCCATGAGCAGATGGAGTTTTGAAGATGGATGTTACTTCAACAGTTGTTCCTCTGATTCTTCCGGAGAAATCTAAAATTGATTGAACAGACTCTGAGCTTTGACACAGAAGAGTTGCACAGGCGGACACTGATTTTCGCACCTTTTTCGTTTAGCATTTTTATCATGATCATTACCTGGAGCACAATATTATAGTAGCATTAGTAAAGTAGGCAGTATTAGTATAAGTAGTTTGTTTTTGTTTGTTTGTTTTTTTTTTTCGTAGTAGTATTAGTTATTGTATCCAGTTTCCCACTGTGTGATTTTATTGTGAAGCGCATTTGAACATTGTATGGAATTTGCGCCATACAAATTCTTCTTCTTATTATTATTACTATTAACGCGCTCTAAGGTCCCGTGCATGCCACGAACGCAACATTGTTGGCCAACAACCGCCTGATATTGTTGGATGTTAAATGTTACGTCCGTGTGCACATCCTTTTGCCAGAGTCCTGTTGCATGTTGCTGAGAGTTGTTGCGCAAAGTTTGCGGTCAAACTTTTAGCTACGTGCAAACGGACGCAGCAACTCTCAACAATGTTGCGTCCGTTTACACGGGGCTTAAGAACAATAAACGGATGATCACCTGTTACCTCAAGTTTAACTTGTGGGATGTAAATCATACTAGTCAAGTCAAGACTGTGACTACGTTACTGTGGAATTGTAATTTGTGAGTAATATTGAATACAAAATAAAGTTTCGTCATGTTACTTAAGGCTAAAATGGTCAGGTATGTGACTTGCATTTGACACCACGGGCGCCCGCGTCCGGCCAGCGCTTGGTCCGCTCTTACTTACACATTTTATTGTTAACTCCTAGACTACGAGTAGTCCTCATTTTTCCTAAGGGAATTTTTCCTGGCGAGCACGCGTGAAATCAACCCACACGAGAAAGATGAGACGCGGCGGGGAGGGAGAAAAATGACTCATCGCTGCGTCTCGCCCTTCTCGCGTGAGGTGATTTTCACGCGCGCTCGCGTTTCGCTTGCTCTACTATCCCTGAGGGAAAATGGGGACTACTCCTAGTCTAGTTAAGTCCTTTTTCGATCTTTTAATTCTTAGAGTTGGTTTCTTAATGATTGCTAAATCTCTATCACGAGGCAACGAAACAAGCCAAGGAGTGTATTGATTTGTCCCGCGATTTGGGTAACTGCAATAAAAGACCGTTTCGATTCTACTTTTACATTCGATGATTGATAGAACGTTACTCTTATATAATGTTTTGTTTCTTTTTGCAGGTTTTTTACAGCCTCAAATTGTAGTTCGAAAAAAAGCAAAGGGGAGGAAAAGGTAAAACGTTGACGGGGCTGGGGATTGTTCGGTCATTATTGTCAACATGAAATTATTTTCTTTTTAGTTATCCCATTCCTTTCATACCTAAAAATGTGTCTCAGAAACAAGATTATTTAGCCTTTGTTTTCCAGTAGGGCTAAATAACGAACCTTGTTTGAAACAAAGTGGGCAAAAGCTAATAAAAGGTTTAGGGCATGGTTTGTGGGGGTTTGTTGGCGCGCAATTATCGCGCTGTTCTATTTTATACACTTAAACAGCATGTGCTCCCCCAGTCAGTTTATTATTTGCTCAATTTAACATTAATTTAAGGGAGTTTGGTGCAAAAGCATTTCCTTTAATTTGTGAATTACATTAATTTAAGGGAGTTGTAGTTGTTCAGTTTAATCATCTTCGTTGTGCAGCTTGAGAACTGAGGAGAAAGCGACCAAAAAGCAACATCATCAACAACAAAGAAACTCAAAAGCGGGACAGGCGACTAAAGGAGACGAAAGATTGAACAGAAATCTCGCACTTTCGTGACTTTGCGGCTGATTTTCGCGGATGGGACAATTAATGTTTCTTTCATCTATTTTATGTAAACTTGCTGACAAAAGTGTGGATCGTTGTAAAAGCATACAGTCCATTAAATTGTCGATGGCCTAAATTTGGATGAATTCATACAAAATGACCCGGCGTCAAGCTTTACAGGCCCGCGTACATACGTTGCTGACCGTCTATCTCAGACAGGGTTGTTCCGTTGTATAACGAGGATTGTGGTATCTAGTAATTCTGGGAACGATTTAATAGTTACCTTCAATCAGAAATGAAAAAATATCAAAAGCATACTCCCTCAAAACAGTTCTTAGACCGCAAGGACGATTACGCTGGAGTTTATATAGGACTCTAAATGACGGTCGTTACCCCTGGTCGTTGACGAGAGTTAATCAATTGCAAAGTACTCAAAAACAAAGTTCATGAGGGGTTGCCATTAATGTTCCGTCTCCTTCTTCTAAGTACTCTGTCTTGACTCATGTTTGGGCAGAGGGGTGCATCCGGGGGACTACTACATCAAGTTTTACACAGGGAAGGCTTCCCCCCAAGGTCCAACCAATTGCCCTTTTGTAAACCATTTTTGACAGAAACAGTACGGCCCTTTCGTATACTCTCCATAATAAAAACATGGTAGCCCTTAACGTACCTACTTAATAAGAATAAATGGCTTAGAAAGGAGGCTGTCCGTTTTCATTTTCGTGTTAAGTTTAAAGTCTATAGCCACAAGGCTCGTCTTTTCAAAACATTTTAATTGGAGGCCCTTTTAACCCTTTTTTATACTTCAACTCGTAAATTCTCTACCATTTGATATACCTCTGATACCTGAAACCTTAAAAAGCTGTGGCTATTACACTTAGTATGAGCCAGGGATTTAGAACCTTGGCCTTTTATGCAATATGCGTGCCAACCGGCGGCCAAAGCCGGAGGATTTTAATTCCCGGGTTTAATTTTATGGGTTTAACTTGAGTGTATCTCTCTCTTGCTCTTTGATGTGTGACGAGAATCTGGAGAATATCAAGTTGATTAATATAATTGCAGTGAATAAATCATGCCAGAAATTTCCCTTCCTTTAGAAGGAACTGACAAAATAATAAATCCTTTACAGCTATGGCTGCTTTTTGTCTAACAAATGAACTGTACTAAACAGAATCGCGTGCACGTGGGACCAGTGATGACAGGTGAAAAAAAAATGTGGATTAAATAAGGTCCTTTTTTAAAGCCCAGTCTAGAAAAAGTCATGACTTATTACAGATTCATTGCTCACTGTACTATATCCCCTCTTTTTGCCTCCGTTAAATTTTAGATCTTCTTTTGGAATTGGCAATATAAACAGTAAAGATGATACTAGCTAAAAAAACAAAAGTAAAAGCTCCTAAAGTATTTATCCTCCTTCTTGTGCTTGTCAATCCACGCCTTATTCATAACTGTGCCCTTGCATCAAATATGAAACTTGTAATACTTTAAATTATCTTTTTACCACATTTTCATTTCAGCCACCTTCTGAGATTGGTAATCCTCCAAAGACTGAGAGCGGGAAAACAGGAATAAATATGACAGCATTCAGCAACAAAATTAGCAACGATACCAACGCAACATCTGAGGAGCTCACAGTGTTCACATACAGCGAACTAGAACATATTCTAATGAGCGGAAGCCTGGTACTGATGATTTGGGTGACATTGATTGGTAACGCCACAGTTTGCTTAGCAGTCTACCGCCGCCGAAAACTGCGCACGCGTACTAACATGTTTATCATCAACCTATCATGTGCTGACATTGGAGTCGCCGTACTCTGTATGCCATTTTCGTTAATCACGTGTTTGCGTCATGACTGGGTTCTAGGCGACGCCTTGTGCAAGATAAATGGATTCTTTAACATAGTGTTTGGTTTGACGTCACTCCTCACTCTTACCGCCATAAGTGTGGAGACCTATTTTGCCATCTGCAAACCGCTGTACCACAGGCACATGAGCCGAAAATTTGCCTTGGGTCTCCTTATATGGACTTGGTTTCAGCCAGTTGCTATCGCTATTGTACCGTTTTTTGACGTCATCAACTATGAGTTCAAGCCAGGTACGCTACATTAATGACTACTTTTTATGTAACCCAACAGCTACCGGGAATTACCCTCACTTAACACCTACTTTTGAAATGTTAGTGGTGTGATAGTAATGATAATAGTGATCAAGAGACGATCCTCCCTTGTAGTGATGTATAAAAACAACGGAACTAGCGGCTATCGAGAAGAATCCAAGCTTCATGGCCAGAGGCAACCGAGTTGAATTTCAGCGCCCTAAACCACTCAGCCATTTTACCTGCTTTTTAATTGTATAATGATCTTTTATGTACAATCTTGTGTATGCGAAAACGTTTTCCTGCGAATTGTTGCCTACAGATTTTGATAAAAACGGCTTTCTTTTGCTTTCTTTACTCTTAAGGTACCACGCAGTGTGGCGTCCAGTTTCCCACCAATCTAGCTCAGATCATCTACGCAGGCATAGTAATTTTTTGCGGTTTTGTACTACCGGTGAGCATCATGGGATTTGCCTACAGCAACATTTTCTGCTCCGCCAGGCAACACACTCGACGCGTTAGTCGAGTATCTATTTCAAGCACGAGTAGTACCAACTCCGCCACGGCCCATAGGCAAGTAGCAGTTACCGTGCTGATTTTGCTTGGCGTATTTCTAGCGTGTTGGTTTCCCTACTTCATGTACGTCATCTTGGTGAGTGTCGAGAAAGAGCTCTCCACTGAACGAGCAGTCCTGAACCTAGGAAAGGCCGGTTATTGGTGTGCGTTTGCTAGCAGTGCTCTTAATCCCTATATCTATGGTTTTCGCAACCCTCAATTCCGGAAAGAATTCAATTTAATCCTCTGCTATCTCTGCCCTTGCGTAGGACTGGGATCGCGCTCGCGGGGCTGTAGTTCCACTACAGGCAGCAAAGGATCGTGGGATGGATCTGGTGGGTTTGATTATAATCAACTAAGACGCCCCAGCACACCTTGCATCACTCCCAAGGGACGGCTGTCGGTTGATTTTGCGCCCCTCCCCCCAGAAAGTCTTCAGAAAATTGAAATGTTCGCTCTTCAAGCAAAGTTTTCAAACTGTTCTGCTGAGCCTGAATATTGCAGCCACAACGAGGAAAGTTCAGAGGCAGCAATTGGAGATGAAAACGTCAAAAATAACGGCGAAGGCGATTACAAAATAAACAACA